CGCAGGTCGACAAGTTCGAGCTCACTGAGGAGGAATACGCCGCGCGAAGAGGTGCGTCCCCTACCGCCCGCTATCCTCCTCCAGCTCCCTCTCAAGCTAACCCCGCCCGTGCATCGCCCTCCGCCTTCTTGTGCTCCGGAATCTTCTCCACAGATACCGTCCTCCAATACAAAAAGCTCAACCAACTCGGCCGCTTCGCCCCTTCCTCCCCCGCTCCCCCACCTGCCACCGTCCCAGCGGACCTCCTCCCCGGCGCACGCTGCGAGGTCGCGCTCTCTCCCGAGCTGAGGAGGCGCGGCACGGTGCGGTTCGTGGGGCCGACAGATTTCGGCGCGAAGGACGAGAGCACGTGGGTTGGGGTCGAGTGGGACGAGCCGGTTGGGAAGGGCGATGGAGCGTGCGTTTTGCGCTCGCTCTTCCTTTGCCCCTCTGCGAGCCCTGCTCGGCAGGTCGGGTCACTGACGCGTTTGGCCTCACAGCGTCGACGGCAAGCGCTACTTCCAGACGGCGCCCCTGCGCGCATCGTTTGTCCGGCCCGACAAGGTCAAGGTGGGCGATTACCCGGAGCTCGACCCGTTTGCCGAGCTTGACGAGGACGAAGCGGACGACGAGGAGATGGAGATGTGAGGGCTAAGGGGAGAGTCTGGAAAGAGGTCGGTTGTGTCGTCTCGTCTGCTGGCCCAGGCCTGTGCCCTTGTTGTCTTTTTCTCCCTCTCGCTGCCGCTCCATGCGCTTCGCTTCTCGAGGCGCCCCTCTCAGCAGACGACGCACAGACCAGATTTGCATGTTGATGGACAAGTCACAGTGAGAGGACACCGAGGTGGGTAGGATCGCAAGCGGAGATGGCGCGCCCCCTGCGCGCCCTACCAGCTCCTCAACGCGTCGACGATCCCGTCAAAGTTGACCTCGACGTAGTAGTCATTCTCGACGCCGCACACCGCCGAGTCCATGTGCTGCACGAGCGCGCTCAGGCTCTTGAACGTCCTCCGGCACGCGTCGTCCCACCTCGGGCACTTGTACAGCTCGCCCGCGTGCCTCGCCGAAGCGAGGTGCGCGCTTAGTCCCGTCGAGGTCGTGAAGCGCTGCGTGCACAGCTGGCAGTGCCACCTCTGCGTGCCGGCGCGGTAGGCGTTCTTGGGCACACCCTGGACGGGGCGGAGCCGCCGCGAAAAGGTGATGAGGTCGTCCCAGTCGGCGTCCTGGACGATGCGGTTGACGTCGTGGCGAGTGATGCCCGATCGGCAGCCGTTGGCGTCGAGGTGGAGGAACATGGCCGTGCGGCCGGGGAACCGTTCGCCGCAGCCGGCGAGGCACTCGGCGTCGTACCCGACGTGTTCGGCCGACGTCAGGTGCTGCGGGTCGACAGAGGGTCAGGGGCGTGCCAGGTGGTAAGGGAGACTGAGGGGGCAGTGCGAACTCACCCCTTTGAGCTGGGCAGGGCCTCGGAACGCCTTTGCGCACTCGCGACAGTACGAGTGCGCCGTCGCGCCGTGCTCCGACCGGTCGCTGGCGGTCGAGAAGACCTTGCTGCAGGCGTTTCAGGGGAAGTGGACGTCGTCGTAGTGTTGACGCAACGAGGCTGAGTCGTCAAAGTCGCTCCAGCAGAAGGTGCAATATCCGTGCGCAGGCGAGGTGGTCCAATGCCGCTCGCGATCCGCGCTCGTCGCAAACTCAAGTTCACACTCTATCGTGGCTCCGTCGTCAGCTCGGGTGTTTGCTCAAGCTAGTAGAGTGGGAAAGAACGCTCACTCGTGCAGTAGTCGTGTCGCGACGACATCTCGAGATGGTCGAGCAGACTACCCCATGAGGTGAAGTAGCGTTGATCACAGACCTCGCACACATAGCCAAGCCCGTCGGAATACCAAGGGCACCACGAGGCGCGGGTCATGTCGCCGAAGAGGTGAGTGGTGGGGGGCTCGGAGAGGCGAGGCGGTGGGACCTGGGGAGGCGGGAGGCGGCCTACGGTCAGTGCTTGGTTGTTAGAAGGTCCTACTCACGCACAGCGTACAGAGGAGGCGCCTTGTCGAGCTGAGTCAGCGAACAAGGACCGCCAGCGGGGGTGGCGACTCGCTGAGGACGGTGAATGGTGCGCCGGGAGAAGCTAAGACGACGTCGAGGTGGTTCCTTGAAGCTTGATTGACGGCTCCCTCTGATCTCGCCAGCCCGCGAGAGTGGAAGGTGGGACGGGTGCGAGAGGAAAGAGGCGGTGCACCGCCGCGCGCCGCATCGCTCGGGACCCTCGTCCTCTCTCGTCTCGCTGACAAAGGCTCGATGTTACCTGCCGGGCCAGCTTTGCTGTGGTCTACTGCCACCACTAGCGAAAAAGCGGGTCCGGTCGGGCCTGCCGTTGTCCCTGCCGCCTGACTACGCTCACTCTCGCCCCGCACTCCCTCTCGAGCTGGCCCTCTGCACAAGTCGGGCGCGCGAAGCCTTCCATCAATGCCTTGACGGTCATGTGGCCTCTGGCGCGCCGGCGCAGCAGGTCCAGCGATCGATCCGACACGTCGGAGACGCTTGCCCCCGGCACTTTTGCTCGCACTTTCGAGACGACGTCCGACAAAGGTCAGCTGACCCGCTGCGCATATAAAGGGGGCCGCATCGCGAGCGATATTGCACTTGATCTCTCGAGACCGCCCAACAACCCTCAACGCACCCCATGTTCGCCTACCCAGCCATCGTCCCCTCTCGCACACTACCCTTCTACCCCTCGCCCTACGCCGCCTATGAGCGCGAGCTCGAGCGCCTCGCCTACCTCACCCAGCTGCGCGAGGAGCAAGTTTGCCGCGCCGAGGCCGCTGCCCGTCGGGCTGCCCTCGCCGCCCTAGCCGCGGAGGAGCAGGAGCGCCGCCAGAAGCAGGTCGCCTTCGAGCGCGCCGTCCGCGCCGAGGTCGAGCGTCGCCTTCAGCAGCAGGAGCAGGCGCTCGAGGAGGAGCTCGCCTACCGTGCGGCGCTTGCTCGCCGCGTTGAGCGAGAGCGCGAGCGTGAGGCCGCGACCCGTCGCCAGTCCCTCGTTGACGCCGCGCGGCGTCACGCTGCCGTCGCCGCCGCCGCACGCGAGCAGTCTCGCCCCCGTATCGAAGGCGACCAGACCCAGCTTCGCCGCCTCGTCGAGCCTCGCAGGGTGCAGCGTGTCCGCCAGGTCGACTTCCCGGCATCGCTCCTCGCCGCTTTGCTCGCCCCCGCTCCGCTCGATGTCAAGTCCGCCCGTGAGGAGGGCAGCGCCCCAGCTTTGTCCATCCCCGTCCAGACCGCGGACAAATCTGAACCCCAGTCGACCACCGCCGCCAACGCTGAGCCTCAGTCGACCGAACTCGCCGCACCCGTCCCGCCCTCCCCCGCACCAGCGGCGGCTGACGCGCCGTCGCCAGTCACGCCTTCGGCGACTGCCAAGGGCCAGGCCTCGCAGGGCAATGTCGCCCTCAGGCGCCGCTTCGAGCGCAAGCTGGCGCGGCAGGCCGCCCTCGACACCCTCAGGCGCCTCGCCGGCGAGTTGCGCTCTCGCCAGTCGATCTTTGCCTCGCCTCCTTCGCTCAG